GCCACACTTCCTGAGGATCCATTAGGACCACTTTGCTATGCTCCCCTAGGCTACTGGCCTCTGCTACACCTCGACTTCTCACCTTTCTACTGTTGCTGCTGCACTCCGCTTGTCTCGCTTGAGGGCAGACTCCGCTGTCTGCTTCCTTGACCTTGGGCCAGCAGCCCTAGTGAGTCGAAGGACCTTCAGTATATTGACTGCTCTATGAAAGTGAGTTGAACTGAGCCCTCTGTACTGCTGTACGGACTAATTAGCTGTTCTACACCTTCTAGCTATCTAAAGCTATCCATATATATATAATCATAAGTGTCCTGGTTTTGTTTCTCTAGAGAACCCTGCCTAACACATATATGTTGTCAGGAGAGACAAGTCCTTGCTTATAAAGTAGAGGGGCAGGAAAAAGATTAAGGGCCTCAAGGAGAGGCTGAAACAATGGGCTCAAGCACAGGAACAATTGTGAGGATGGTGCAGGGCAGGACAGTGTTCCCTTCTGTCGTGCACAGGGTCGCTAGGGGTCAGAACTGTGGCACCTGACCCCAAACAACATGAAGGCTATACCTTCATGGTTATACCTCCATGGGTCAGCAAGCCTGGTTCACCAATGAACTGTCTGGAGACACCACACTTCACAAGCGACCCTCCTGCCCAAAGGCACTCAGCTTTTCCAACTGCATGTGCCGGGAAGCCGCCACTCTGTCTGGTGCTCCTGGTTTCACTGCCACTGCCACTTCCCTGGGGTCACAGGTCTGCCCTGGATTGAGATTTAGCACACAGGGACCTTGGGGTCCAAGGGACATGTACTTGTCTCTATGATGACAATGAGATCTAGCCTCATAATTTACATATCATACAATTTAATAGCTTGGTCATCATATTAAGAAGAGTTGTACAATCAGCCCCGCAATCAATTTCAAAACATTTTCTTCTTTTTCGACTCATTGTTGCCCATTCCTGCTTCTGAGATGGCTCATTTTACTCACAGAAGGATGGCAAAACTGACTGATCACCACATTGAAGTCCCACCTGTCTACAATCACAGTGAACCCTGTTAAAAACACAACTGAACCATATAATCCTGTCAGTGTTTTCTCTTCCCTCACCTTCTCTTACCCAGGCCTATCAAGAAAATAGGGAGTACAGCCAACTGCATGTTCTGCACAGTCATTTGGTAGGAGTTACAAAGAACTGTATCAGCTAAATCACTGGAATACAATAGCTTTTTATTGTTAAATAGCATTCCATTGTTTGAATTTGCCACCATTTATTTATACATCCACCTTAGAAAGGGCATGCTGCCTGCTTCCAGTTCAGGGCATGTCTGGAAACAGTCATTACAAACATTTGTGTACAGGATTTTGTGTGGATAAATGTTTTCAACTCATTTCAGTAAATACCAAGAAATGTGATGGCTGGATTGTGTGATAAGACTAAATTTATCTTTGTGAGAAATTTCCAGACTGTGTTCCAAAGTATCTGTACCATTTTGCATTCCTGTCAGTGTTCTGGATTTTAGCCATTTTAAGGAGCCCTGGCAGCACAACAGCTAAGCACCCAGCTGCTAACCAAAAAATATATATATATATTGAGCCCACCCTGTGCCTCCATGGGGAGGAGGACCTTATGATCCCCTCCTGTCAAGATTACAGCCAAGAAAATCCTATGGGGCAGTTCCACTCTGCCCCACAGCATGTGTTAGGCTTGGTTGGCTAGAGAAACAAACACAGTGACACTCGATCTATGTACAAGAAAGAACTGTACATTATGAAGCATGTATACAATAAGAAGGAATCCCAGCCCAGTCCAATTCAAGTCCGTAAATCTGATGCTGGTCTATAAGCCCCTCTTCGGACTCACCTCGACACATACCAGGGATGCAGAATGGTCAACTGAGAAGCAGGAACGTCACAAGCCGGTGTGTGCAGAGCTGCGTGGATCCAAGTCAGTGGAAATGGAAACATGCAGGGTGCCAACAGCTCTCAGGACCACAGTAGAGGCCCAGCAGGTAGGAAGGTGAAGGGGCAGAGAGAGAGTTGTTGCCGGAGTCCCTCAGTCTTATACAAAAGATCACATCCCCAAGGAGGTGTCATCAAGCTACCAGTCGATTGACAGGTTCGACTCCACCCCTAGCCAGGATTGTCTAGAACTCTCAAAAACCCACTGCCATCAAGGTGATGCCGACGCAGAGTGACTCTATAGGACAAGGTAGGACTTTCCCTGTGAGTTTGTGAGACTATAGCTCTTTATTGGAATAGAAGGCCTTGTCTTTCCCCTGCAGAATGGCTGCTGGATTTGAACTGCTGACCTAGTGATTGCAGCCTAGCGAGTCATCATCTTGCCACCAGAGCTCTTCCATGAGTGTCTAGTTGACATTAAAGCACCCAACTCCCACCCAGGGTTATTATGACCTGAAAGCACCTAACAACAACCTCAGGTGTGTAGCCCTATTGTTGCTTAATTTGCAGTTCCCTACTCATGGTAATAATTTCTTTCAGAAGAATTAATACTAGCCTAATCCCTAGTGGTTGGAGATAAAGGTGGAAGATGTACAAAGTGCCCCACTCTTCCAAGATGTATTTGCTCTATTTTCCCTCCGCTCCTCCCTCGAGTACGTTCCCTCATGTCCCTGGTCCTGTAATTTGCTGCCATGCCCCACTGAAAGTCAGGAAGCTTTAAGGAAATGTCTCACATGGTGGTGGATGCTGTTCAGTCCCAAATCCAAAGGTCAGGCAGAGGTGAGCCAAATGCAAGGTGCAGAGCCAGAAACCCAAAATGTCAAAAATTCACATCAGGGCTTCTTGCTTCTACCAAAGCTCAGTCAGGAAATAGAGCTATGGCTTTCCAGGTGAGGTAATGTGTGTTAGACTTTATCATGATATCATATATATATATATTAATGTGTGTTAGACTTTATCATGATATCCCATATATATATGTGTGTGTGTGTATATATATGTGTGTGTGTATATATATACATATACATACATACATACACACCCCATCCAAGGAAAACAAGGGCTTGTGACTTAAGTCACCCTCTCCACTAAGGTAGAATATATATATATATATATACACATACATGCATACATACATACATACACACCCCATCCAAGGAAAACAAGGGCTTGTGACTTAAGTCACCCTCTCTACTAAGGTAGAATCTTAAAGATGTCCCCAAGGAAACAAAAGGTGTGGCTGGGTTCGAGGAAAGGGGTTTGACTTGGTTCCCATCCTCTACTACAGTTAGGTCTTAAGCCCGCTCTAGTCCTGCCAACTAGTATAGAGAGAACACCCTGAAACATGCGAGTATAGCCACAGGCATAAAGTCCAGAATGATATAAGAAATTATGGCTAGAAGGGCCATATTAATGGAATATAACTCACTAATGCCGTGTGATACTGGGCAGTTTTTCATTTGTATATATTCTTTGGCGAAGTATCTTCAGATATTTTTAATTGAGTTATTTTCTTGAGTTTTAAAAGCTTACATATATAAATTAACTTGTATGTTACTAAAGACTCCAAGTCTACTTCAGTTGTACTTTTCCTCCTTTTATTTTTTTAGACACTCAGATCAATATTTAGATCCAAGGGTAAGGAATCTGGAGGGGTTTTTTTCGTTTGGTTTAAGGCTGTGAGCCCTCTCTCTCTTTTACAATTTATTTTGGTCTTTAAAGAAGCACGTTCTGTGTCGTCACACCGTCCATCCCCACAAATGAAGTAACAGTCTTTTCCAGACGTCTGATTTTCAGATCTTTCCTCTGTTGTCTTTTAACTTTCTTGGTGCTATTTTTTGAAACAATGGTGTACAATTTTGGCCAAGTTCAATTTATCTATTTTTCGTTCTATTACTTGTGCTTTTGGTGTCAATACCTTGTCAAATCCAAGGTCAGGAAGACTTTTCTTTGCATGTTATTCTCATAGTTTTATAGTTTTTGCACTTGTGTGTATGCCCCAGTCCACTTTGAGTTAAAATTTTATCTGCTCATATACCAAGGGGTGCGCCTTCATTCTTTTGCATGTGGAGACCCCGATTTTCCAGCATCATTTGTTGAACACTTTTCTCCCCATGGGACAGTCCTGGCTCTCTTGTGGAAAGTCATTTGGCCTTGGATGTTTGGGTTTATTTCTGAAGTTTAAAATCAGTACTTGATCTTTATGTCTCATTTCATGTCAGCACCACCCTGGTTTGATAACCGTTGCTCCTGGAAGTTTTGACAGGCCTGAAATCCTTTTTCATTCTTCTCTTTCAGAATTGTTTTGGGGATTCTAGATCCCTTGCAATTCCATATGGATTTTTGGCTCAGTGTATCAATTAGTCCTCTGGAATCAAGTGGGCTTGGGATTGTGATTGCGTTTGATCTGTAGATCAGGTTGGGAGCATCATTGTCTCAGCATCGCAAACCCTTCTGATCCAGGAATATGGCCAACTTTCCATTTGTTTAGACCCACCTTCATTTCTGTCCAGAGTGTCGTGGGGTTTTTAGAATATGTGTTTAGGTTTTGCTTTTTTATTATTATGAAGTATTGTTTTTCTTTCTGATGCCATTTTAAACTTAAAAGTTGCTTCCTTCATTTCATTTTCACTTTGTTCAGTGTTCCTGACTATCGAAATACAATGGATTTTTGTTTCTCAACCTTTATCTGGCAACATTGCTGAACTCCTCTATTAGTTGTAATCTTCTAGCATGTTCTTGTGAAAGTGCTGCTGAGTCTCCAAGTTGTTTGGAGTCCTCTACACCTTCTGGCTGTTTAAAGTTTGCTTCTTTAGGGGGTCTTACATTGAGAAGGATCCTGTGGGGCTAGATTCATGGAGGTCACTCTTGTCCACGGTTTTAAGCTCATGACAAATGATACCGCATTCCCTTGGGTGCTCTGCTCTGTTAGCTGAAGGGGATGACAATACTATCAGTTTTCATTTCAACCTTTGAAGCCTTTTAAAAGCAGGCAAAAACTAGATGCTCATTTTTCTTCAGGTTCTTAACTAACCTCTGTCTCTCCAGTTGCTGGTTTTGTAGGGTTAGATCCCAGGATTGCAGCCTGGCTTATAGATCCCAGAGATGCTGTGCCTTCCTTTGAAGATTTGGTGGCAAAATACTTTGGAAAAACCATCACAGTGAAAGTAAACAGTACTTATGGAAATTCGTCAAGAAGTCTCGTGGTGAGTGGCTGGTCTTGTAAGGTAAAGTTTTATCCACCTGAATACAACCCCAACTTCTCAGAAACAACTTCTTCACAAATAGTCTGAAAGTATAAAGGAATGTTGCTAGCATTTCTCTCTCTCTCTCTCTCTCTCTTTCTCTCTCTGGCTCTCTTTTGGCACAAATATCTCTTTTAACGGCAGGTCTTGAATGAGGATAGAGTGTTGTGTTGGTTTGAGTTTTATTTTTCTGTTCCCTTGTCAAGCCTGTTCCTGGGAAACCTAGTTGCCAGCACAATTCTTCTAGACAAGCTCTGGTGTCACAGAAGCACATCCCTCCAAATTCCCCCTGTTGCTATACCCACTCTTTAGGAACCATACTTAGGGGGAGGGTGCTCCCAGCTCCCAGAACCTCCCCTGGAGGAGAACCTTCCTCTTGTGGAAGAGATTTGACGGGCCCATGCAGGCTGTGCCCTGAAGGCCTGTGTTGGGCTGGGGCGGTGAGGTGGGCTGCATGCTGAGCGGGGCTGTGGGGCTGGGAGGAGCCAGAGCAAAGCAGCAGTGCTAAGTGCCCCTCAGCATCCCCACCCCTCGTTCTTTCTTTGGGTTATAAACCACAGAAACACACTCTGCCTTCATTAAGAAGGTAGCAGAAGGCTATGAGGTAGCTCTCTGAATCTGAAGAAAGCAGGAGCAGTGGACTCAGGAGCAAGAATCAATAGGCAGGGTGCCAACACCGTGCCATGACATTGCCCAAGATTCACATGCTAAGCACTTAGCCCACGTCTCACCTCACTCACTGGTGTCAGCAGGATCTCACCAGATTCTCAAGATCCCACTGGAGAAACAAGACCAGTGGGATCGATTGACGACTTGCCAATCATGGCTCGCTTGGCGTGGGCATGCGTGAGGGCTGTTGAGTGACTGGAAGGCCGGACACTTCGGTCAGGAGCTGGTGCTTCTCAAGAAAACCTCAGTTCTGTTCCTCGGCCTTTCACATGACTGGATGAAGTCCACTCAGGTGACCAAGAATAATCTTCTCTACATAAAGCCACCTGAGTATAGTTGTTAGTGATATTCTAAAGAAGACCAAAGAAGAATGGATGCCTTTGGATTGCGGTAGTAATGAAGAACATCGACTACACCATGGACTACCCATAGAATGAACAGGACTTATCTTGGAAGAAGTACAGCTAGAATGCTCCTTCGAAGCCAGATTGTGTCTGCGTACTTTGGACATGTGATCAGGAGGGACCCATCTCTGGAGAAGGACATCATACTTAGTTCAGTTGAAGCTTAGTATAAAGAGAGGAAGAACCTTGATGAGATGGTAAACACAAAGCTGAAACAAATAGACTCGACGACGGGTGAGGGTGACAGTGTTGTGTTCTCCTGCACACCGGGTCACCATGAACTCAATGGCATCTGACAACAACAATCACATCTACAAAATGCCTGCACCACACCTGGGCTGGTGTTTCATTGAGTAACGTGGCCTAACCAAGTTGACCCATCAACCTCACCATGACAGCAGAGGGCAGGGCATCTTGATTAGCAGTTCAACCCAGACCCTGTGCTGTCAGGGATCCCACAGGAAGAGTTAAAAGGCATTAATCCCCAAAGAGGGAGAGGTTCTCAGTATTATCCGTCCCATGTACAGAGAACAATCAGGTATAGAAAGAGGCTCCTTGGCCAAGCTCAAGTGGAAGTTACAATTCCTGCGTTGGATTTCTGACCTTCAAGTCCCGTTTCTTTTCCAGTTTGCATGCAGTGAGTTAGGAGACAGAGAAGCCTGCCAGAGGTTGTTTTCCTCCCCTCCAAGAAGCCTAGTGCGCCCCAGTCGCTGCTCTCGGCGCACTGCCACGCAGCCACCCTCTCCACTGCAAGAGTGACGCCAAGGTTGGAGCTCTACGTCTAGTTGACTGGCCAGAAACACGTGCCATCCGCCGCTATGAAGAGTGCTAGGAATCGTGTTTTATGGCTGTTATCACCGCCCCAATCACGGGAATCTTCATTCAGTGCCTTCGACTTGGTCACAGGGATCGAAGACCAGGAAAGGGCTGAGAAAGAAACACCAAGATATATGCAACCAGCTGTCAGCCCGTTGTGTGTGGGCAAAGAAAGGGCTCGTCCGAGGCCTGGAGCCGGGGAACAAACACTGACCACACTTGCATCTGGGGGCTGGGGAACCTTGGGCTGCATGAGGTGGCCCACAGTGGTCCTGGAGCTCCATGCCCAGTGGTGGCAGACAGGAGACCAAGTGCTGATGGGCTGCATCCCGTCCCAGATGGTCTTTTCATCAGTTGAACACAGACCCTCTCTGTCCATCACCAAGGGCTCCTTGTGCCGATTCTAGGGTGAAGATGGGATGGGTGGGAATGGCTTGGGGGAGGGCAGGCCTCCTGACCCCTTGACTGTGTGTGGGTGCCATGTGGTGGAGCCAGGCCCCACCACTGGACTGGGGACATTGAGCCTCCTTGTGGTTCTATTTCTGGTCTGGAGAATGAAGGCAAACATGGACATGGCGAGGCAACGCCGGGCTGCGGAGCGATCGCACTGCACAGCTTGCGCCTCCCTGGCTCTGGAGAGGCCCTCTGACGAGCAGTGGGTTAAACATGGGCTGCTAATGGAGAGGCTGGTGGTTTGAACAGCCTCGTAAACTCTGTGAAGCAGTTCTGCTCTGTCCCACAGGGTTGCTGGAAGTCAGAATGGACTCAAAGACAATGAGTTTGGTCTTTTCGGGGGTGGTTGGTTTGTGTGTAGCTTTGCAACTTGAAGACTTCAGGCTGTTGGTGTTGATGCCTTCTGGGAGCTAATACCTTGGTTGGGAGCCTTGGGGACCTGGGGCCTGGGAGTCTGGTCACAGTCCATCCAGTAGCAAGTGAGCAGTGTGTACCAGCTACCAGACCTGCCTGATGGTTAATGCTTTCACTCTTTTAAAGAACCATAACGTGTGTGTGAACTTGAGGATTCTCCACAGACTGACCCTGAACCTCTGCTCCAAATTGAAGGCAAGTCCTTGAGAAACCCCGCTTCCTGCCCCTCCTCCCTCTAGTCTCCTTGCAGGGGCTCCAGCTGGGTCCATCCACCAAGAGCAGCAGGTCTGGGGGAGGGGGGGGGCGGGAGTCACACACCCCCGCCTGCTGAGCAGAGCAGAGTCTCTGAACCTACAGGGCTCAACTGAGAGCAGACGGGCCAGGGCAGGGGAGCAAGTGATTCTCAGAGCCCGGGCAGAAGAGTAGAGAGAATGGGAGGCAATCTGACTAAGTGGAGATGTTTTCATCTCCTGGGTGAGCTAGATGAAGAAGAGCCTGGGGGTGCAGTGGGCTAAGCACTGGATTGCGAATGGAAGGTCAGTGGTTCAAGCTCACTTGCTGCCCACAGGAGACCCGTTAGGCAGTTTGCTTCTGAGAAGACGAACAGCCTCAGAAAGCCCCTGCCTGGCGCCATTCCAGCACGTCCCATAGGGTGGCTGGGAGTTAGAACGGAGAAGGCAGGGAGGGGCTTTGTTTTCAGTGTGGGTGGAGGGGTGTTTCGGTGAGGTGAACTCCTGTGACAGTTCCCCTCTTCCCACATTACCTGGAAAGTCAGGGCAAAACCAAAGAAACTTTCAGGGAGGTTTATTTTGGGGGGAATGCAGTAAACTTCATAAATTTCAATGGAAGACTCAAACCAGAAATCCATCCATTGAGCTCATTCCAACTCCTAGCAAGCCTATAGGACAGGATAGATTGGCCCCTGTGGATTTCTGAGGCTGTAATTTCTCTCCCCAGTGGAGACTGAAAGTCCACAAATACCTAAATGTGTCTTAAGAATGAGACAGGCTAATAGAAGAGAGGATTGGTTTGCCCTACCCGGTATTTCCAGAGCCATAATAATAATGACAGTAGGAGGAAACTGAATGGTGTTTGGAAGAAGACAGGAGGCGAGGTGTGCATGTGGGTAGGAAACTGACTGTGCCCACTTTGGCCTCGGCCTTCAACTTTGCCCAATGGCATCAGGTCGGTTTTTCAGCACAGTGCAGCTAAAATGAGACTGTCAAGTCACCGTGACATTATTGCCTCCTTTGAAACAGGCTGACGGTTTATGGCGACTGTTTTGTACCTTGGAGCGTCCTCTGATACCAATTTTGGCAGGTAAAGTAATCATAGAGATGAAGTGCAGGCATTTTTTATTTTCAGAGCATTGTTTAAATTGTTTGAGAATGATTGCTTCTTTGTTAGATTACGGTGAAGCCTGAGGGAGCAGGAACTACCCAGGATGCCTACTGCTTCTCAATGGCCCGTTTTAGTGGCAGAGGGCAGCCATTCTCCTGCTCAGACAGTGTCCTGCCTTACTCAGGTTCCTGCTTTCACAGGCTTTATGTGCTCATGGAGTGGCAAGTCCTTTCTTACCCTCTGCGACACAAGGGGTGGGATCACCTCCTCTCGGGGTCTAGAGGGCTAGAAGTTTCTGCCATTCCTGTCATACAGTGCCCCTTGGGTGGCTCTGCTGGGTGTTCTACTGGCTGCCAATGCCACCTCCCCTCCCCTTCCTGGAGAAGTAGCAGACGGAGGGACACTTCTCTGGATGTTTGACCCATTAATCCTCTCTCGCTTCTATTTTATATACTTTTAACTCTTCCCTCCCTAGGATGATGGGGTCTTGTAAACTTCCCTAGAACAACGATGTAGGGTCAATTCTATCCTTGCCACTCTCCTACAGCTGTGCTGGCTGGTGGAGAGACACTTCATCAAGGTGTTGTGCCTACTCCCACACCCTCTCCCACCTACCCCATGGCCAGAACCAGGACCTGAATGCCAGCTGTGTTGATGCTGCGCGGCTTGAGTGAATTCCCTACCTAAGCTCCCATGTTCTTGCTGTGAGAACACATACAAGTATTATTAATGATTAGCAAATCTTCTGCAGAGGCTGTCCCGTCCTAGGTGCTAAAGAAGCAGTAACTGCGAGCATTATAGCTTAGTGCGTGTACTTCATTCAGTCTTTCACCAAGAAATGATTCATTTATGTCAGTGGTTCTCAAC